TTGTATTCACCATATTGTAAGACAGGGGCTAGGGGCTAGGATAAACACTGGGTTCCGACTAGATATTGCAGGGGTGTACAGCCTCAGGTCTGGGGGTCAAATATGGCCACCCTGAGATCCCAGTGTGATGCTAGTGTGTGATCCAGAGGGCCATGCTCCCTTTCCCACTGTCCTCAGACCTAAGACATTTGGTGGCTTCCTTTCTCCCCCACCTGCTCACCCCATTCTGAGGGCTAATTACTTAAGTTTCTCTTGAGGCTTCATTCCTGGCAGGAAAAGTTTAATGCTAAGATATGCTGGTATTTTCGGTATTTTGATCCTGAGCCTTACTCACTGTAGCCACCCCTTTTGCATTCAGCCTCAGCCACCAGCGGAATGCAGCTCCCCTGCAAGAGCGTCTCCAAAATAGAATTCAACCCTTTTGGCTGAAAGAGGTTCAACACCCCTGCTATGTTGTGTTCCAAACCCTTCCCTGTATTCACATTTCATGAATTAAGTATTGGAGCCTCCTTGGCTTGAAGGATTGACTTTAGTTTTTTTTTTTTTTTTACGGATGCTGTTAACGTTTTCTTAGAAAATAACTCACATTTACAAGTCCTCAAAACCTACAGTAACACAACTGCTGAAAAACTAATGATAAAAGAGGAAAATCAGTCTACACATGATACAAATATGGAAACCCATCAGGATAAATAGCACTTTCGGACATAATACAGCACAGTGCACCCTGCATCTCCCCATAGTTCTTCAGCTATTCTTCTTTCCTGGAATTTGAAAGGTGGACCTTTCTGTCATCTTGATAGTGACTCACAACCTGCTCAATATTGACATTCGAGGCCCACTTGATGGTGTCAGATGCCACCAATCCACATTGCTTAACCACTCCACAGTCATGTATTCTGAAGGACCCAGCTACCCAGCTCAATATTGCACATCACATGCTGCACTGAAAAATAGTTCCTTCTTTCATCCTTTATATACCTGGCAGAGATGCATACCTCTGATGCTTTACTCATTTGATTTGTACCCCACCTCTCTCCCAAGAAAAACGGCAGTCAGGGTGGGATACATTCATAAATAAAACTTAATTAAAATAACAACGAAAAAAGCTATCAAAATACAAACACACAGTGATGGTAAAATGAGCCTCCAATGGAACAGAGCTGCTTATGCAGCCAGGGCCTGCTTTCCTTCTCTGTCCATTTCTGAGGAGGCAGTGCCTGCAGCTGAAGGGTGCAGGGGCTGGGGTGAGGCAGACAACCACTCTCAGCTAGGCAGGCAATTCCCAAGCTATGAGCAAAATCCCCAGTGGAAAGGGTGGTGGACGGTGCAGGACATATTCAAGCAGCTGGAAGATAGCCAAGGTGAGGATCTGGGAACCCAAAGCTGATTAATATGGGTCTCTCCATTCATTGGAAAAGGACTACTTTTCCTGCAGAGACTCAGTGCCAACCAAACTCTCCTAGCTCTGAATTCTCCAAGGATTATTGCTTTGCTGGGGAGTGATGAAGAGCCATAGTTAAAACGGCACAACCTAGGCTTAGGATCAAGCATTCAGTTGTCTGTTCTTCAATTTCCACCTAGTGTACTGCTTCTATCAGTAAATAGGCAATGAAGAATGTGAGGACCATCTGTTGCAGGGGATTCTGTCTCAGGAGATGCTATCTCTGAGTCAGGGCCAGCCCTACCACTAGGCAGAGTGAGGCACTCACCTCAAGAAGCAGATTTATTTATTTATTTCAAGCTTTTCTGGACCAGCCCAATGGCTCTATCGATGGTTTACAAAATTTAAAATACAATGAAACAAAAGAGATAAAATCCATAAAACAATATAAACCAATTTGAGAAATAAATTCATTAATCCTACCAGCCAGGGCACCAACCACCAGATGCTGGGTGGGGAGGAGGAGGAAGTGGAGGCAGCACCTGGGCCATATGTCCATGTTGGAGGATAGAGCTGTCTACGTCATGTGTCCTGCCCTGCACTTCTTAAGTTAGCCTGCTCCCTTTATGTGCAGTGGAGGCTGCTGCCCATCACCAGTGTTGAAGTAAAGTTCAACCATAGGCCTGTGCTCCTTTAAGTGGAATAGGGTGGTGGGAGATACACCCTGGTCAGCAAACATATACTAAGGCTTTCAGCATGGGGCTCTTAACTGTCAGACTAAAGCTTAACACTGGGGCAGATCCAGCACACCCAAAGCTGACATTGGCTCTCCTGATTTGCTAGTGTCTCCCCTTCCATGATAGAGTCTTTGCTACTGCTTACAGCCAGGGTCATGACTTCCACCTGGTTTTCAAAGAAGATCACTAGGTCTATCATGACGCTGCTCCTTTCTGTAGGAGAAAACTATAGAAACCCAACAAGAAAAATACAAGATCAACCAAAACTTGAAAAATGTTGGGCCTGCTGCACTAGACCCTGTTTTGCCAAGGGCAAAAGGTTCTTGTTGGATCCAGAAGCAATCTGCACACAGGTGGATTAAAGTCTAAAGATTTTATTCTAAAACAGGCACTACAATGTAAACAGATATAATAACATGAAAAAGGAAATACAATACCAAATAAGCTGGCTTCCCTCTATCAGCTGTTGGGAGCTCCCCCTCACGAACAACAAAGAAAAAGTCCCTAATTCTTGTCCGGCGTTTGTCACCCTCCTTGCTCTGCTAGATCGCACACTGGAACTCGCTCAGGCAGGGTTGCGCGGCTTCTCTCCCTACCCTAAATCTAAGAGTCCAAAACAGTTAACTAGCCACATCTGCTGTTCCTGGCTCTCACAGTGATAAGCTCCACTGTGTACTTTCCTGCATTCCAATGCTGTACTATCCTAATTAGCAAGAGGCTTCCCTTGCATGCCAAAGGGCCTCAACTGAGTCTCCACGGGTGAGGCAGGAATAGAAGGGCAATTGTGTTACACCACCTAATACAATAGTCTTCTGGAAATTTTCCTCTACAGACCCTTATGTCCCTGCCTGATCTCTGCAATCTTCTGAGATCTGATTCTGAGCGAGACACATGCTCTTGCGGTTTGGTTCAAGGGCACTTCCAGCAAAATGTTTAATGTTGCACTACCCACTGCCTGGAACACGCTACCACAAGTCATTAGGCAGGCCCTTGCAGTTCTGATTATCTAAAACATTCTCTTCACGTAGGCTTTCTCTAAAGTGTGTCCAGTCAACTGTGCTCTGTAGCTCATAGTAGCATGTGTTTGTTTTACTGCTAACTAGGATTTTTATTATTGTGTTGTTTATCATTATACTTTATTGTTGATCTGATTATGTATTTTTTGTTCATTGCTCTGATACCTTTACTGAATGTGGTATCTAAGTGTGAGTAAGAGGAGCCACGCATACATGGTTATGAAATACTGCCTTTTTCAATAAAAACAGTGCATCAGCTGATTGCTGCCTATTCTATCAGTGCAATTTATGAACATTGCAACTCAGAGATTTACCCAATACTATTCAAAATCCAATTATAAATAAAATTGCCAAACATGTTTCAATTGACACCTTGTTAAAGGTGACAAAGTAGAAAATTATACTGTTTTGTAATATTCTAAGCAAAACACACCTGTGAGAAACTAAGCAGCAACATGTCTCTGTAAAAAAGAAAAAAAAAGAATAATAATTCATATTTTTCTTTGGCTGGAATGAGAAAATTGGTTTATTTGGAATGAATTTTCCTGCTGGAATTAGAATAAAAATTCAGACTTATTGCTTGTACATAAGGATGTACAGGATTGCATACATATAGGATTACACTGCTAGTATTTTAGTGTTCTATAACTGTGAGACAATAATACCATTGTGAGTAGTGGAAATCCAGTGCCATGAAAACCCATGAGGGCTTCAACATTGACCAGATGGATTGTTCCCATCACTAGGCAAGTTTTATACTCATTGACATTTGACAGTGTATTACATAAGCTTTCTGCATTGTATTTTTTAATTTATATTTTTGTAACTCTACATAAGCTATGGCAAACTAGATGATTCTATTAGTTTTTTAAAATGATTTCTGTAATATCTTCTGATATTTGGCAGTTTCCAAGCCTCTCAAAATAGGTTACAGCCAAAATAAGAATACAAACTGCAAAAGTGCAGAAAAACCCTATAAAATTCAGTTGTTGGGTGGTAGAGAAAGGTTTGGCTATTGGCTAGTATAGAAGTGAAACAACAACAACAACAGTAATAAACACAGCAGTCCACCTGAACTGATGATTTGCTCTTACTCCTTTGCTTCATCCTTACATATCAAAGGATATTCCTTATGAACCCAGGAAGCTGTTCCATATTGCATCAGAATATTGGTTTACCTGTTCCAGTATTGCGGGATGCAGAGCTTCAGATCTGGTGGCCAAAGCTAGCCTGCTTGGGGTCCTAATCCAGCCCTATGGTACCCCATGAATATCAAGAGTGTGAAGGGACTTCTTAGAATGGGCCAGCTATAACTGCAACTTAGAAGCTGACACAGATGCATGGACTTTGGGATTGGCATCAAATTGAAGGCTCCTCTCTTCCCACATGGATGGACATACTGATGGATCTTGCGGACCAGAAATGGGATCAGAGTTCTTGGGGAAGTGCAACCAGAGTCTTATCTCCATGAAGAGAGCCTTAAACACATTTGTATATACATTTGTACATACATACATACATACATGCAGAGAGATTTGATATTGAGATGATGATGATGATGATGATGAAGATGATGATGATAGTGGCTGTCCATGCAGACTAACACCCATTTTACATTGGCTGGAGTTCAACGCCTTCATGTGTGTGGACAGGTTAGGACAGGGCCAGTGAAAGTGTTCTTGGAGGCCCCTTCACATATTTGGTACAAGTGCCTTAAGAAGGCTTATGGGATAGATCTTAATTCACTGTATTCATGTGTTATTGACATCAGTACAATTTAAGTGGAAGATTTATCATTACTGTAGTGTATTGTAATTGTTTTGGAATGATGAATCTCTAATAGCTACCTTCTTTTCTTTCTAGTTAATGGTCTAATGACAATTGGATTGGCAGGTAAGAAACTTAATATTTTCTTTTGGCATAGGGTTTTTTTCATAATGCCTTTTTAAAATTAGTAGCTTTTAAAAGGTTGCTTTCTGGTACCTTCACAAGGCTGATTTGGTTGTGTGTTGAATGATCAGTTACTATAGGAAGGGAGTCCTCCAGACATTTTTGTCTCTCCTCAGTCCTAGCCAGCATAACCTTTCCTTTGCCAATCTATCCACATTGTCCAATTCTCTGCACTTTTAGCACTGTTTACTCATTCTTTTCCTAAACCAATAGGCCCCAAACGCTGTAGCCATTCTTCCTTCACCAGCTCCTGATAATTTGCTTGCCCTTCTCTTCTCCTTTTCCAACCCTACTGAACCAAAACTGTATTTCAAGTGCAGTCACAAAACACATTTTATGAAAGCAATACAGTGTTGACAGTTTATCTCTATAGAAAGAGCGATGTGTGGTACAGGCAGCAGCTACCAGTGCAGATTTATTTATATAATTAAGACACTACAAAGATTCGCCTTCCTTCCCACTGTTGTTTGCACTTACACATTTCATGCCTACAGTGCATCTACCTGGCATTGGCTCCAGATTCACGATGGATTAACTGCAGAGGTACAAGTGGGCTTCTTCCCGTGCAGCTTCTCCAGCTGCAGAAGCTGCTACACAAAGAATACTCAAAGAGATCCTGCTGCATGGGGTGATCTTGTACACAACCCATGTTTTCTGGGATAGAGGCAAATTTTGCATGCATACAAGAGGGTTCCTGGTCTCATAAAATTTTAAATGGGAAGCTGGGCTCGCCAAATTTTTAGTTATAGGAGAATATAACTTGGTATAATGTTTTTCAATTAGAATGCGGGACTAGATAATGGATAAGAAGTAGATGTGGGGATTACACAAAATTTGAAGATATGATTATAGAAAAAGCAAATTATTTGTTACACTGTGCAAGACCCACATCTCTGTCTTGCCTGGTCTTGCATACCTTGACTGGTTCCAGCTCTCCAAGGTTTTTCCCAGCTCTGCTACTTATCAGTCTTTAATTGTAGATGCTGGAATCAAAGCTTAGACATCTGCATGAACAGCATGCATTCTGACATGGTGCTTGGTTTTATCCCAAGGATAAAGCACCTCTCAGCAGTGTTGCCTGTAACCATTACAAGATCTGAGTCAGTCCTGAGATTAAAGAAGGCTCACTGATTCTTTCTTAAATAGTGTTGTCAGAATCTTAATTCTTTTATCAGATAAATTGTGATTTTTTCCTTCTTCACTGATTTGAAAAGATCTTTTGTTTTTGTCCTAGGTGCACAACAAGGAATTGTCTGCAATGAATCCCTCATGTTACAAAATTTGCCCATGTGTGGAAAATCCTTTGAAGAGATGATGCAGAAGGTGGACTCTCAAAAATGGTGCAACCTAACAGAATTTATCCTGTAAGTTTTGTTCTTCATCTTTTTATTGCTGGAATCATTAACTTTTGAGAAAACTGCAGCCATCCTTTTAAATCATGGGTGCCACAACATGCAGAGAAAATTGTGGTCCTCTGAACAGGGGCAGGAGCAACTGTAGGCCTGACTATAGCATAGATCAGCCTTTCAAATATTTTAAACTACAAGTTCTCTCGTTCCTGATCGGTGGTCCTGCTGGCTGAGGCTGTTGGGTCTTGGTACAATCAGATCCATCCTTCCCGTCTGTGCTTTTCCCTGATTCTCATTTTGGAAGGCTAAAAGCAGAAGCACCCCAAGACATGGTGAATGAAATATATACTGTGGATTTGCCAAAAATAGCTACTGGTATATTAATGCAGGGGTGAGCAACCCTCCATGCCTGCAGTCCTTAGTCTGATTTCACAAACTGTCTGCCTGTGATCCATTCACACCTCTGATGAGAGGCATCTGTCATTTTGCTGGCAGGGAGGAAGGGGGAGGCAAAGAAAATGGGTGACAGAGAGAGAAAAGAGAGAGCAGAAAGAGAAAATGAAGATCCTTTTAATTGAATCATTTAATTTTATTAAAATATGTGAGGAAACTTGTCTGCCCAGAGTAAAGGGAGCACATGAGATCGTGTTCACTGCTGTGTTCATCCCCACTTATCACTGACATGCAGTTCCCACAGATTACCCATGAAAGTCTATGGACCTCAGCAGGTTAACAATTTGTTTTAAGGAATGATAATTTCAAAATTCCCAAACTAAGCATTGTTTATGAAAATAGCTGGATGCTCCTTGCTTAGTCATCTTACATAGCCATACGTTTCACAAAAGGTTGTACTTTTGAATAAATCCACTCTCCTGTGTGGACTTACTTCTGAGTAGACAGGCATAGGCTTGTGCTGGAAGTCTTTTCAGGGTCCAGGTATAAGCATGAAGCAGGTCACAAATCACCACCGAACACTCTTCTGGTGTTATGGATCTGTTTTTTCTCCTGTTAGAATCTGTCTCCTACAAGTTCAAGGTACAAGCGCCTGCACCCCTTCAGGGCACATAAATCTTTCACAATTTAAACCACACTCCTAGCTATAATTCACTGGGCTCATTAGAAATGGCGTGTGTTTATTTAAGTCATGACAATGATCTATCACTGGGACTCAAAGAGTTCACCAGTGTAAGGAACTGAGTGCCTAACCCTTGCTTTTGTGAGAGATAAACAGTACTCTTTAGTGAAAATAATAATTATTCCTTTATGTCATCCAACTGCTAGTAGACCTATATCCAGGCTTCTGAATGATGGTTGCACAAAACCTGCTTTACATTGAATCCATCACATTCAAATTGTTCTAGCTTGCCTTGCTATCTGTCAGATAATAGCTCTAAAAAACTTAGTACCACCTGTCCGCCTCCTTCTACCCCCATTCTTCACCTACAAGGAAATACGAAGTTATGTCAAAGTATTGTTCTCTCTTTCAAGCTGTTAGCTTCTGATCTTTTCCCCTGCCACAAGAGAGGGATGAAAAAATGTATTTAAAGCTGTGCTGAAAAATGTTGTCTTCAGGAAACTGTCAGAGTTCATTTAACTGGGTAGTTAAAAATTAAAATATGTGAATGTGTGTGGGAAAACTTCTCTGCCCAAACTACATGACAAGGCCGATCTTTTAAAAGAAGTTCTAAGCATGTTGCATGCTTGTCTGAAATCTACCAGCATTTCTAGTGGTTCAGCATCAGTGGAGTTTTTACTCAATGGATTCAGTTTAAGTACAATACCTTATAACAGCTTTATTTGGTTAGGTAATTTCTAAATATTAAATCTTCAACTCCACCATTTTCCCTCTGGTATTTGCTTTTATGGCAGATCATTACATCTTGGAGAGAATTTTTAAATTTATTATTAACATTTATACACCACCTCATCTGCTAAAAGCAATCAGCAAAAGCGTAGCAGAATTTCAAACAATACTACCTTATTCACGTTTCCCTACATTTCCTGTATTATCCAATTTTATTCTCATGATAAACCTGTCAGGAGCCTCCAGTTGATGTGGGAACTGACTGCCTCCAGTTCTTTTAGCTCAGTGCTGCACGTCAGGCTTCCTCCGGTATCACTGTTGTCTTCTGTCAGCAGGGAAGAACTGAAGCCTCTGCAGTTATCTTTACTGTGACTCCCTTGTTCTTCCACCCTGCCAGACAGTGCTGAATGGTGAATGAGGCTGGAAACCAGTTCCTCAAGGGTGCCTGGAGTTGCAATTGAAAAAGCTATGAGTCACCTGGAGGCATTCAAACGCATGGAGCTTCATTCACAGGCTGCTATGAAAAGCAGTGCTTGACATTAGGCTGAGAGTCAGTGACCTTCCCATGGTCGCCCAGTGGTAACTTTCTGCATTTTTGTCTACCAAATCATGGTGCTGTTTTATGGTCAGTTCATTATCGGTGCTGGTACTTTCAGCTGAGTATACTTGCTTTTCCAAGAATTCTTTGCAAAGAATTCATTAGCCAAGCTGTCTCTCTGAGCTGATGCACCACTAAGTTTTCTTCGTGGTGGTTAAACCATCAACATCCTTACCAAAACTTTTCAAGATTTTTGCCAATTTATTTTCTTGCTCCTCTACAGACTTCTTTTAATTGATCTCTGGATGTGTTGAGATAGTTCAACAGTCTCTGTTTCTTAACAATAGCTGTATACATTTTCACAATAATGAAACAAAATGTCTTAGTTGTCTCAGGATAATACAGCTGGGCTGCTGCACTGCATTTTCTGATCGTTTGATAAAGAGAAGATTTAAGTATTTTGCAGTTGGCTAGACTGAATCCTTAAATGTACTCAAATACTGTGCAGGGGAATAGCAAACTTGTTGATGAGAAACAGAAAAGAATTTTATAGTTCAAACACAGGGAGAAAATAGTTGGCCTCTTCGATTTGGTTCTCTCTCCTCTCAAAGTGGAAGAATAGTCAATGTTTCAACCATGACATGAATGGGCATTGATGTTTGGCAGATCAAGTTGCTTTATTTGCTGATGTCTGAAATGGCAGATTAACTTGTATTGGATCATAGCAAGGTCAGAATACAAGACCACATAAAACACTCCAGCTCTGGAACATTCTACCTGGGGCAGTATGATTGGCACCTGAATTTGCTGTCCTTTTTAGCACTGTGAAAAATGGCCCCCTCCCCTTCAAGGCCTTCCAGACCTAGGATTTTGACTCTGGTTTCATTGGCTAGACTGTTGTCTTTCTAAGTCTGTTGCTGTTTTATTTTGTCTTGTTGGTATGTGCTTAATCTATTGAAAACAAACTGGAGGTTGGATCCTGGAACTTCCTGGCACTGATAGAAGGGCTTCATTCATGGAAATGCCTCTTTCCCATTGCTGAGGATACTCCCTTGGCCCCCAGCCCAGCTCATTAGATTCTGCAGGGTCCCCTTGACTTTTGTGCATCATTTCCAAGGACCTTGCAGGGTGGGGGAAGCTGCTATAGAAAGAAAAGGGAAAGGATGTGTGTATCTACCAGCATGCTTACATACACCTAAGAGCTGGATGCAACTCCAAATGTCTAAACTAAATAATTCACTAAATACATAGCTGGCATCATTCAAAATGATGCACTTCATCTGTAATTCTGTGCCCAGTCACCTGGGTCCAAAAATGCACAAGAATCTTTCTGCAAGGCAGTTATGCACAGGTATATTCCTTTTTATTTGCCACTCAGAGATGACTATTTCTCTTCAATGGAAGATTTTGTACAATGGATTCACTGCCAGATATTTGCTCTTGGTAAATTCTGGGTTCAAGCTCTAATCAGGTTGGATGTACCAGTTTTGGCCAGCCACAGCATGTTCTCAGTGGGAGCAGCTAGTACATTTTAAACAGCTGCAGGACTTTATTATTTCACACTATGAAATCTTGCAAAGAAAAAGTTCCAAAGATACAGTAAGTGCTTTACTGAGGTTGCTTCTTCCATTTTCTTTGAGGGAGGGAGAACATCCTTTTACCCAGGGGTTTTTTTCTTTTGCCCCCGGGGTTCTTTTTGCCTTTCTATACAGTTTTTACATAACACAAGGTGGTGCTGTGGTATAGAATGGAATATAGACTTTACACAAGGCTTTTATAGCGAATCAAGAATAACAGCAGACTTTCCTCACTCTTAAAAAATCTCTGCAGAAACAGCTGGAAAACTTGGAAGAGGATGCTGACATTGTGAAAAGGCCCCTCAAACTTCAAACATGAGGGAGGGATCACAAGCACACAACAAATGCTTTGAGTAGAGCAGCCCTGTGTGCCGGATTGCTAGTGAATTCCCATTATGTTTGCTACTCAGACTAGGTAGAGAAAAAGAGAAAGCATCAAGCATCAGTTCGCTTCAAGAATCTGCCTTTTGGTATTGTGAAAATATGGTAGGCCTCTTGTGCCTTTACTTGCTCCATGAACCAACTAGCTTGATTAATTCTATCCACAGCACCACCGGAGGAAGAAATCTATTATTTGTAAATGCTGAAGGTTAGAATGTGAGAGATAAGATTTTGTTTGAAAGGCATCTGAAAAATAATTTCCAGGTGTGGAAGACCTTAAATTAATTAATGGCTAAAAGATTTATTGGCAATTCATTCTGAAGATGCTGCGCTCTTACTATTTTTACAATACCAAGGGGGAAAAATCACTCCAGGTTCAATAGTTTGTCTTGCATTGTTTGGACCTGCTAGATGATGTGATCTCATTTCATGAGGAAGGGGAGAAAAACGGATAGATTACATTGCATTTCTTCTCATTAGGGAGAAGCCTTTGGTAATAGAGAAGCTACTTGCTTCTTTTGGCATGAAATAACTGTGCTTTATGTAGGCTAAGCCTGGAGAGGAAAAACATTTTGGCTGCTGATTAACTATTATGTTGATAAATAGTGCAGTCCTGAATATTGATTTGGACCTAATTCTGTTCTCTGCTCGACCTCAAAAAGTTCATGTAAATCACCCTCCTTTCCCTCCAGTCTATACATACAGCTTTTTTCTG